AATCAATTATCCACAAAGTAACTTTTGATCAAAGGTTCTGGTCAAAAATATTGGTGAAGCCTGTATCAAGTATTGGTGGATTTATAGTTAATTTGAATAATAGAAGGAGCTCAAATAGCAACTGCATGCTTTTAATCCATCTCTGTAATATATAAGGATGACCAGGTGCATTACTGTGCTTTTGCTATGCTCTGTAAATCATGTTATCCAAACATACTGTATTACAAAAACGCCTCTGTTAATCACATGCTTTTTTTCAGTCAATTCGATAGAAGTATGTTTATAGCTAATATTTGTAATATATAACACATTTACACAAGTGTGAGCATTTTACATTTCCAAATTTGAGAGGGTATAAAGAAGGCTGAAGTGCAATATAAACAATGCACATAAACTTCAAATTCCTAAACACAATAAGCACAGAAATATGTACACATTGCAAGTCATTAGTTCAAGCCCACCAAACATTTCCTGAAACAATTACCTTCACTGCTATAAAATTCACTTTGCACAATCCTCTGGAGCGTTACTAATTGCTTTTCTTAACCCCCAGAGATTAAAGGATTTTGAAATGAACATATAGACAAGCGGCAACTCTAATTTCAAATTTAAGCTTTATTAAGGCAAGCTCTGTTATATGAAACAGTGTAATTAAGAGACTATTTAATGACAGCAATATCCCGTCCTGATCCCCTCATCTTCCTCCTATCTTGAGAAATCACAGTCTGCTTTTATTTTTTTAAAGTATGATGCAACCTCAATTCATTTCCATCTGGCATCAGCTCTATGTCTCATCTTCAAGAGTGCATATAACCATGTTGGCACATGTTTCTCAAATCCTTTTCCACTAGGGGGTATGATAGACTGTGACTGTATTTCACAGTAAACCTTCTGTATGATATTGTAGTACTAAAGTACACACACGAGGGAAAAGAACGGGCATGCAAAGCTTGGTACATAATTTATGGTGATTTAAATCCTGTAATTCATAAATATAACCAAAGGCTTGCAAGTGATATGGACCTTGCCATATTGATCATGGTCCAGCTCTGTTTATCATCCATTTCTTGACAGAATAAAAATGTTGTTAATCTGTAAAACTGTTAATGAAAAGAAATACTTCTATTTTACTTCAAGGATATTTATTTGTTTGTGTGTTGTGCACTCTCCCACCTTCAGATGGGAAATAAAAACCCAAGGGGAGGGGATATTATTAAATCAGCAATCAACCTTCAAGTCGTTTTGGTATAAATACAGTAATTATTTCATCTCTAGTAAACAGAATATCAGACAACAGCACACAAGTGTTACAATTTCCAATGCGCTTTGAATGTCTTTGTTAAAAAAAAAAAAATGATGTGGCTGAAGGCGACGTTATTGAAATATATTAAAAAAGCAGAAGTTGTGACAGCGAACAGTAATTAGTCAGTAAATTCCTAGTAATAAATTTAGCAGGTCATTGCAGCAGACCTTATGTTTTGCATGGAGAGAAGTCACCGTTTATTAGCCTAGACACCAGAGTTGCTTACCTTTATTCAAAAACACATCAGAATAATTCTGAAAAAAAAATAGCATATGTGATTATGGTAGTATAGTTCAGGTGCCTTCCAAAACTCACAAGGTGGATTTCACTTCAGTTATGTTAGAATAGTCAACTGCACATTTACATAGATGTAACCATAGCAGCATAGCATGCACCTCATTGGGAAAAAAACTGTTAAACAAAAATTTTATCTAAAACATTACTTTCATAGATGAAAGATGCTACCACCTACCACTTTTAATCTCTTGGTTAAGGAAGAAGAAACACTGCATTGTGTGAGATAGATTTTGTTTGTATTTCTGGTGTCTCTTTCTGTGGTATCTTTCTTGCGCATGGCTGGCTGGGCTCTGGCATGACGTTGCCTGCTGCCAAACAGGGTCATGGCCTTGATTTGTGGCAGTGGTACGTTTGCAATTCATCTGGTCATAAACATTAGCGTGCACTTCACCAAGGCCTGGTATTTCAGTAATTGGTGTTAATATTAGGTAGGTTGCAGAGGGTTTGACAGTTGCGTGAGAAAGCGGTCTTGCTTATTTAAAGAAAAGTTTCTGGCTAGGAAGCACCAGGGGTGTATTTTATACATCTTTGTACTCTGTCTCAAGATGGTCACCGTCTTGTCAAAAGAGTCTTTTTGAAAATATTTTGCAGTCAAATAATTACTGGCTTTGTTTAAATGGTCTCGTCCAACATATAAATGAACAATGAGGAATTCCCCAAAGGACATCTATTGTTATTGAAATGTTTATTTATTGAGTGCGTTTACCAGAAGCCCCCCATGAGAAAAATCTCATTTTATGAGCTTCTTGAGCAGTCAGTTCCCAAATATCTAGCAGAAAAGCAGTTTTGGCCAAACAATCTCAGGGTCTTTTGTTTGCTTTTAAATAATTGACAGAATACCGATGTGCAAAAAGTTGTGACAGGAGCTGCCTTATTGTCTTTATTTTGCAAATGTTCCTAATGAAATTGGGCTTCTGTTGTGCTCGAGTATTTCCTTATGTTCAATCAGTCAATGATTACAATAGAGAAAAAATAGTATCCCATCCAACAGTGCAAAGACAGACATTTGAAATGATTCTTAGATTTCTTCTTTCTTGCAGAAAGTATGGGTATTAATATAATCCCTGTCCCATATGGAATTTTTATCCCACTCTATCTCTCCTCCTATCTTTCCCTCTATTTCCCTACATCCTCTTAGCCGTGAGGAGCACATACATTGTGGCACACACACACACACACACATACATGTGGCAACACATACACTGGGACAACTCATCTGCTCTGAGTCCTGAGTACACCAGGCTTACTCAGGTGGAGTCAACTTCTTTGACTTTGCTGGTAAAGCCAAAGTGTAACTACACCGTGTTTGAGAGTTGACATGAATTCCAGGTTCTTGACAATAATGGAATAGGTGATGTAGATTTGGGAGAAATATCTAAAGTTCTTTGTTTACGTGGTCCTTGGTGTGGGACAAATGTGTACTAGGCTGTTGCCTGTTTTTATATGAAGCAGACCACTAATTACACTGTGTCTGAGCAGCCAGAGAGAAATCATCATTTCTCTTAGGTTGGGAATGCAGAAAGGACAGTGCAAGATTGGTTATATTCAGTGCATGATAATATCCAACTCCCAGGTGGCTGTTATGGTTGATTATCTCTATGTTAGTGACAGAACTGGGGAATGGCCTGAATTTCTGAAACACATTTTATGTATCTTAAGTAATGCAATTGTAGAGTATTATAACCAAACATACTACTTAAATGATGTTCATAAATGCTTTATAATTGCCTAACATTATTAAAATGCATTTCTTGAACATTAATGACTTGACATCTGGAATATCCTTTAGCAATAAAATCTGTATTTTAGTTTTCTCCCACCCAGAAGAGTATTTAAAGAAAAATGGTTGATTAATGGCAGTTCCTAATAACTACAGAATAAAATACGCACAGTGCATGCTTTACGAGCAAAAGATTGAAAGGAGGCTCCTTAGTCTTACTCCGATTCCCTTTGTGACCTCAAAGCAAAGTCTTAATGATCAATAATAGTTTTCTTCTACCTAAAATGGAAAAAGTTTAAAGGTATTTCTGTCTAGGATATATGTGATGCAATTAAGTGCTCTCACTTCATTAACTGCTCTCCATTGTATGAATGGAAAATACAAATGCAAAGTGTTAGTGAAAGAATAATTTAATACTTCATTTCAAGCCCTGCAGCAAAATTATTTTTCAACTTCTTTTATGTAGCAATGTTTCAGATTTCATTCTCTCATGAGTTATGGCTATATTAGGTCAAAGCATGTTACCTGTATGGTTCTCATCAATTTACCACAGCTGAAACAGTTGTTATCCATAGTATAATTCTAATGCTTCTCACTGTTTGTGTGAATAATAAAAAAGTAGGCACTCACATAACACATAATATGTAAGAAAACTGTTGTCACGTGCTGGTTTTCATGTTTGTTCAGCTCTTGCACTCTCTGTTCCTATATAAATGTACGTTATAGTTACTACTTTAGCTTGCAATCTGAAAAAAATTCTTAAAAATACTTTCACCATGGTTGGGTGTGTTCTCTTATGTGTTTTTGTGTTTTTTTTTTCTTTTTTCTTTTCTTTTTTGTATATTTATGCATTTTAGAATAATGTTAGAATGGAAATCTTTTTATTCCTTCATAAGATGTGCATGTAAGTTGGATATTATTGAGATGAGCGGAGAATGAATGCTGTATTATATCTATAGATTTATTTTCCTTGAAAAATACAAAATAATTTTTTCTTTGAAACCTTGAATAGGTTCTCTTCATTTAGGTAATTAGTGCTTTGCTCTGCAAATGCACCATAGATTCTAAAACCATAAAGATCCGTCAGGATACACCCAAGATGGTCACCACAGAGTTTCATCATTTCATAAGTTATTCAAATAGATTATAACCTCTGTTGTTAAAAGATAGTAATTTTTGCTATCTTTCTTGTCAAAATCAGCCAAGTCAAAAATCTTTTCCCTAAGTATGTTCTTATAGAACATGTTTAACATAAGTATTCTGAGTTTTTTTAATCATTCTTTTGATTTAGAGTCGTGACAAGAGGACTAAACTTGTGTTAATTTGGAACTTTATGCAGTCTTTTTAGATGCTGAATTCCAGTGAAGTTCTGTGGTGTTTTGGGGTAAACAATAATTTCAATGCCTTCATTTTTCCATTTTTGTAATAAAAATAGTTGTTTACAGGACTATTTGAAGTTTAGTTAATATCTCTGAAATTCTTTCAGACAGACATAAGACACATGCTTAAAAAAGAAAAACCACAAGAGGTATAAGAATGTATGCAAATGTAGCTAATGAAGCAAAAGGAACAGGGCTAAATGGTGTCTTAATGGTTTCTCCTTAAAAACCTATTTTGAAAAAGAATATTACGCCGTGTATCTTGATTATGAGTCTTACATTTTATAATAATCTTTTCTAGCATGCTGGGACCAGCTGTGACCTTCAGAGTGCACTCAAACCTCCAAAACATTTCAACTGCAGATGTTGCCAAAGCAGCAGGTAAGAATCCTTATCCTCCATTGCAAAACTGTGGACTCCCAGTTTAGAGGGCTGTAGGCAGAAAGACAACATGCAGACTGCATGTTCTCCCAGGAAGTCTGGCATTAAGAAGGGAGACAATTGAGGGGTGAGTGGCTCATATGGGAAGTGTAACAACTCTGAATTAATTAAAAATGCCAAGGAACTCAATGTTTATAGAGAAAATGGATTAAACAGAGACAAATAAGCATGGCTTAGCATGATGAAAAGCTATCAGTGTTGTCTTGAGCTCAGAAAAACAGTTTTTTTATTTTTTAAATGAGAATTTATTACCATTGTGTTTCTGATACTTTCAGAAGAAAAGAAAAAGGTATTGTTTCTTAGCCTTAACTGCCAGATCAAAAGAAGATATATATCTTTGTTGATGCATTGTTTATGCAATTCTCATGACCCGTTAATCCTGAGAGTAAATACTGTATATCTGGAACTAAACTGCATCTGAATAAATACCACTGCTCTAAGGACTGCTCTTGGCTTCTAGTCAACTTGGCTGTCAACTATATTATGGAGGAGTTGTTGAGTGAAAGAAACAATTTCTGTAAAGTAACTCAATTGATAACTGATTTGTTTCCAAATTACCTAATTGATAGCTTTTAAAAATGATAAACAAGTTGCAATATTGCTTACAAATAGAAACAAAAAGAAGTTCATTTAGAAAACTACTGGGAACCCAGAACTGTCCATTAACAACCTCTGCTTCCCTATGGATGAATTCAGCCAGGAACTGGAATATCTCCAATTTTGTGCAGGGCTCTGTAGGATCAAGGATCTATTTGCAAATCATCTGTAAGAGAATAACCACATGCATCAGTACAGATTAGGAGATGATCTGCTGGAGAAGAGCTCTGCAAAGAAGGACCTGGGTGTTCTGGTGGACAAGCAGTGTGATCTTGTGGTCAAGAAAGCCAATGGTATCCTGGGGTGCATTAAAAAGAGCACGGCCAGCTGGTAGAGGAAGGTGATCCACCCTCTCTACTATGCCATGCTGAGCTCACATTTAGACTACTGTGTCAAGTTATGGGCTCCCCAGATCAAAAAGACCAGAGATCTCCTAGAAGCCCAGTGGAGGACAAAGATGATGTAGGGTTTGGAGCAGCTCCCGTCTGAGGAAAGGCTGAGTAACCTGGATCTGTTCAGCTGGGGAGAAGAAGACTGAAAGGGGATCAGATAAATTTTTATAAATATCTAAAGGGATATGGGAGGCAAATGGATGAGGCCAGGCATATATATGAAAAAATATATGTTACATATATCTGTGGTGCATAGCAATAGGACAAGGAGAAATGGCCTAAAACTTGAACACAGGAGTTTCCATACAAACGTGCGGAAGAACTTTACAGTAAGAGCAATGGAGCACTGGAGCAGGTTGCCCCAGATAGGTTGTGGAGTCTCCTTCTTTGGAGATATTCAAGGTCTGTCTGGATGCCTACCTGTGTGAGGTATTGTAGGGAACCTGCTTTGGTAGGATGTTGGACTTGATGATCTCTTGAGGTCCCTTCCAACCCCTGCTATTCTGTGAATTGTGGACAGGATTGTGCAATTTCTCTTAAAATGCAACATCACATGAAGCTGGAAGAAGTCAGGTCCAAAATACATTAGAATGTAGATATAAATGCTAATAATAGTTTATTTCAGCAAAACCGAGGAAGTATCATTAGTTTTTTCTTCCCACTGGGATCAAGTGGTAGTTGTTTTCACCTTCCTTACCTAAAAGATTTCTGACAAGGTAGGGAGGTCTTGGGGGCAAGAGGCAGTACTACATACTCACCAGCTCATTTTAATCATTTAAATTGTATTTTATCTACTATATATATATTCATATTCCATGCATTTCCTAGCTTTAGTTTGATTAGTGCATTAAAATTTTCAGGTTTTGATTGCTGCAGAAGAACATTCGTAGGAGTCTTACATCAATTCCTGTCAGTGTGTCACCAAGTACAACCATATTTTTTATAACTAAACCCTGTATTTGCCTTTTAGCAAAATAATAATAATAAAAATGATAACAAAAATAAATTATATATATGTCCAGGAGTCAAACATTCTAAATTAAAAAGTATCTCCTCCCTCTCTAACTAATAAATAAAGATGCAGTAGCCTGACAATGTACTTGGAAATCAGATCACTTATTTCAAGCAAACTTTTTTTCACTTGCAGATCTTTAAAGCCAAATTTAGAAGTTAGAGCAACAGCAGTATATACTTACATAAGATTTTTTTCAGGCTTTGGCTGTAATTAGAAATTTTAAAAGTCAACAACTTACTGAATAAAATGATTCAAAAATAGAATTTAACAAAGGAAAGTAATGCAGAGTAAATCAGTGAATATTGCCAGAGGAGGCCCAGGTAAATATGTTACTCCATCTTGTTTATAGAAAATGAGTAGACGTAACTGACAGAAGAATTTGTCCATCCTTAGGTTGAAATTAAACAAATTTAGAAATTGAGGTACTCAGATGCCACAGTAATTATGGGAATGTAAATTATCCAGTTTTGCAGAAAGGAATCTATTTCTGCAGCTTTTATAGTAACTTCTTGTTTCATTACTATCCATAGAAACATGCTCTGTGCAACACTTAGCTCTTACTATTCCATTCTCCCATGTGGAGTTTAACAAATATACAGGTTAGAGAAGGCGTGGGACTCACAGCAACTTTGAAAACAGATGGATGACGTAGAGTATTACTGAAATAGAGAGATAGGAAATTATAGTGATAAAAATGATTTACTGTATTTTCCTGGTCTTTGAGATCCATTCTTCTTTGTATGCACAAGACCCACACTTAGGAGAGAAAAGCTTTCCAAAGTCCTTCAGCAATGTTCTTGCTGGTTAGATATTTTATCTGGAATCTCACAGTCCCTATTCTTTGTAAATGTTTTGTTTACTGTTTTGCACTTCTGAGGGCTACACAATTCTATGGGAAATCTAAAAGGAGAATAATTTAAACTTCTGTATATCTTACTCTCTCAGGCTATGCAAAATACAATTAGCAATACCTTTGTTTTTTCACTACAGAGCTGAACTGCCAGTGTTCTACCAGTTTTGCACAGTTTGATGCTCACGATGTAGAACGTATCTTGCATAGTGTGACTGTCCTATGACCTCTTTCTGTTTAATAAGCCAGACTCAATGGTGCATCACAACATTTTGATGAAATAAACTTTCTCTAGACATAGAAGACCTGTTCTAGGAGTAATTGCATTTGGCACATGACATCATTTAGACAAATGAGTATGGATTTCATTTCTCTTCAGTTTAAAGGTTAGAAGAAATCTCGTAAAGAATAACTATCAGGAAGATAATTCTATTTATGTAAAATTGCCATATAGTCACTATAGTAATGAGCAATGAATTCAAATGTGTACAGCTTAATAGGTAATCCAGAATAACAGAGACAAATGCAAATACGTTTAAAGTAACAGTGATAATTAGAAAAGAGGACACTTTCGAAGTTTCCAAATACAGAATTTTAGCATAGGATGACTAAAATATGATCATGTATTCTGCTCACGTGAAAAAGGGATGGAGGATAGAAAAACCCTGTGCACAGACAATCATTTTCTTATGTGTAACTGTAGCCTTTCTCAAGTAAGAATCATGCTTGTGCTTTGTTTGGTATTGCATGAAAAGACAACATCTGAGATGTTAAAAAATGTTGAAAAACAAAGTGATGTATGCATAGCATTGACATATTAGGGAGGGGGAACTGTGAGTACAGTGAAAAGCAATGTGTAAGCAGATATTGAGGAATTAGCAGGTCTTGTGTACAGATTCTTGGATCTAAGATATTTTGTGATATACACTGCTAAAACAAGTCAGAAATTTTCACTTTTTTAAAAAAGATAGGGATTTTGAAAATATATTAGAATATCTAGAATGTATTTATTTATTTAATTGCACCCAGATGTTAAGTGGGCTGTTGATTTATGTTTCTTTCGATTGCTGTTGTCTTAGAGGTAAAAACAGGATTTTCAAAAATCGCATGATTTGAGAGCAGCCATTAATCTTGACTTAAGGAGTGACTTGCTGAATGATATAACCTTCTTGTCTAAAAAGTATTTATCTGCCAACTTTCTAATTCTGCAAAAAATTGGAGAATTAATACCCTGGGATGGTGAGAGCAAAAACACTGTATCATTGCATTTTGACTATATAACAAGTCAATTTGAATAAAGATCCTGTCTGCAAAGTAGTAGAATGAATAATTGCATGTAGATAGAAGTCCTGAACGTTTTAGTCGCCTGCAGACGACTGCATTTATAAAAAACTATGGGTTTTGGGATTCAGCATCTACAAATTTTGGTCATTGTGCCAGCTGTTGAGAAACATCCCGGGCAACAAATATTGTAAAGAATTTTTGATATTGAAAATCATTATTTTTGCTAACATTATCGGTTCTAAATAACCAAAATAGGATCGTTAGCTTTTAGCATTAAACAGTACTTTTGAGATGGAAACAGTATTTCAAAGCTCTTAGAGTTAACTTAGCCTGTCTGGTGATTTAAGCTAATGCCGTCTCATTGATTTAGTGTGATCCAAAATGTCATAGTTTTAATCTTAATCAGGATGACTAAATGACCTGTCATGTTAGTGACCCTGGACTCGATTGTTGAAGGTACTTACGCCTTATTCTCCTCCAATTTGTATCAATTTGTATAATTTCCTTATAAATTCAGTCATACAAAGATTTATTACAAATATATTTTTAAAGAATTAACTGTGGAAGTACAAATGATTGGTCTATACCAAAGATGCACTCATTTTTAGCTGTTTGCAGCAGTTGGTAGTTTTAGCCTTTAGCATAATTGAAACATACTTTTCAACTTTTTAACAAATTTGATGTAAGTCTAAAATATTACAAATTATTTTATATGAATATTCTCTTGTATTCATTCTAGTCATGAAATATAGTTCTCTTTGTATTGGCTGGGGGAAGTGGTATCTCTTCAACTTACAGCATA